TGCAGGAAGATTTGGTCCGGGAGGAAGCCCCTCCGGATGCATAAGAACCTCGGGTCATGGCACAGGAGGTTCAGCATGTTCACGTCAGCTGCTCCACTTCCCATCCAGCTCCCTACTAATGCTCCTGGGAAAGCAGTGGAGGATGACCCAAGTACATGGCTTCTGCTATCCACGTGGGAGACCCAGGAGAAGTTCTGCACTCCTGGCTTCAGCCTGGTTCAGCCTTGGCCATTGCTGGCAGTTGGCAAGGGAACCAGCATATAGAAGCTCAGTGTGTGTCCCTCTCTCTCTCTCTAATTTTACCTTTCAAGTGAAATAAATCTTGAAAATCCAACCAAACCTGGTAGCCTCAGGGCAGTTGAACAGCAGGCAGAAAAAGACCCAACAGGTGAATCTGTGTGGCAGCCAGGCTGAGCTGAATGTGTGGGGGTGTGGGTGCAGATTAATGGAAGGAAACAGGAGCGGTTATAGTGGAGGGAATCCCTGGAACAAAGGCGGGGGAGGGCCCAGGCGCGTGCTGGCAGGCCACACGGCAGGAAGTCAGACTGGGCGGAGGGCTCGGTCTGTCACCCACCTGCCCGGCCCTGCCCAGGCACAGGGGGCGCTCTACCGCGCGAGGCAGGAAAGGCGGCGGTCTTAGACCCTCTGCCATCCAGCCTTTCTCCCGGTGGTCCTCGGTCCGGAGGCTGCCGGCATGGGGAACGCTCAGGGCTGGTGAGGCAGGGGTTCCCCCGGGACTGACTGACCGACTGGGCGGGTTTGAGGGAGCCCCTGCGGGGCGGGGCCCCGCTGCTCTGCCACGCCCCTCTGGTCCGGAGTCCCCGCCCACCGCTTATTTTTAGCTTGGGTCTCTCAAGTCTGTCTGGTCAGCTCTCCCAGGCCCGGGAGGAAATGGAGGCCTCTCCCTGCGGGCCTGGCGTGTTGCTCCCAGCAACCAGATCCAAACAGGCGGGCGGTTGGTCCCGACTTCCATATCTGGCATCGGAGGATATGGGCGGCTGAGGAGGGTGACTCAGTGGGCGGGTCAGCGCCTGGCCTGCTGCCAGCCCAGGCCCTAACCGCGCTCCTTGGCATGTAGGAGAGCAGCCCATCGTCCTGTCAGCCACCGCTTCACAGAGCAGCACCCCCAGCACCCCACCGCCGGCTCCGGCACCCCTCCCCCATCCCTTGTCTTCTCATAGGATGAGTTTTAAAACAGGATGCCCAGCCCTTGTTGCCTCTCCGGAGGCCGCGGGAATGTGGCCTGAGGAGAAACCTGGAGCGTGCCAGGGAAGAGCTGGCAGGACACAGGCTAAGCCAGGGGCTCCCCTGCGAGCTGTGGAGGATTTCCCGGACCCCTGCCCATCATTGTGTCTTACAGCATGAGTCACCTGAGCAGTCCCCAGGTTCCCACCCTTCCTTGCCAAACACCCCACCCCATTTGTCCTTGCCAACCCAGCCCGGTATGGGGGGGTGTGGATGGCACAGAGTGTGTGCCCGGCTTTGCCATTGCCACCTCCCCAACTCCTAGGGGGCGCTCTGGGCCCGGCCGGGTCTGAGGTGACATCCTTGAGTAGGGAGCGAGCGGTTGGAGGGGCTTGTGCCCAGCCATCTCTGGGGTGTGCGTGAGGCTGCTGCCACAGAGTGCCCCAGTTCTGAGTCACAAGGCCGCAGGTGATGGTGACTTAGTTCCCCACAGAGGGGAGCTCCCCAGGCCCGAGAAGGAAACTGCGGGCACCCTTCTGCGCTTCCCTCTGCTTGTGGTTTCCCTCATCTGCAGGGTGTGTCTAGCCTGCCCTTGCCAGCTTTTCGCTAAGCCTGCTTTTCTCTAAGCACTAGGCAAAGTCCCCATCCACACTGGGTGGGAAGCCAGGGGTGTTGGAACATGCCAACCAGGGATAGCTGGTTCCCAGCCCTGCTGCCTTCTGCCTTGCAGGGCCCTGTGCCTTGGTTTCCTCAATGGCACAGCCATAGTGCCCATGTCCCCAGGGCAGCTACAAGGACTTGGCGAGTTAACGTTGGACTGCCCAGAGCAGCCCTTCTATGTCATGACTCCATAGAAGTGTTTGCCTTTTATTTTTACTTATTATTTAATTTTTAGCATATGTGCTTCCAAAGTGAGCACTATTTATTTATTTTTTTAGTTTTTTAAGATGTATTTCTATGGAAAGGCAGATGAACAGAGAAGAGAGAAAGATCCTTCATCTTCTGATTCACTCCTCAAATGACCACAACAGCTGGAGCTGAGGCAATCCAAGCCAGGAGCCTCTTCTGGGTCTCCCAAATGGGTACAGGGTCCCAAGGTTTTGAGCTGTTCTCTACTGCTTTCCCAGGCCACAGCAAGGAGCTGAATGGGAAGGGGAGCATCTGGGACATGAACCAGCATCTGTGTGGGATCACAGTGCCTTTTGCAAGGCAAGGATTTAGCCACTAGAATGTCATGCCAGGCCCTTTCTTCATTTTTTTTTTTTTTAATTGGAAAGGCAAATTTTACAGAGAGGAAAATCTTCCTCTTCTGGTTCACTCCCCACATGGCTGCAGTGGGTGGAGCTGGTTCGGAGACAGTAGCCTGCAGCCAGAAGCAGCATCTGGGTCTGCTACAAAGCAGTGCAGGGGCTCAAGCACTCAGGCCATCTTTTGTTGCTTTCCTAGGCTTAACAGGGAGCTGGACTGGAAGCCAGGTCTTGTACTGGCATCCATATGGGATACTGGCATTGCAGATGGAAGCTTCACCTACCACGCCATGGCACCCCCTCACCCCTATTTTCTTCTTAACACTGTTGCTGCCTCTGCCTTTTGGGCAGCAGGCTCTACTGAAGGAAGCAGCTCCCATGTGTGTCAGTTCTGGGAGCCCCCTCGCGCTCCTCCAACTCCTCCCACCAGCTTGGGGGTACTTTTTTTTTGGCCCAGGATCTACCTGTTCCTCCTTCTGACTTGTCTACTCTCTTTGGACCTGGAGGCTAGGGAAGGCCATGAGGTGCAGGAAGAGTCCTAAGTGGGCAACTGGAATCCACTGGAACACCAGCCCTGCTCCAGATCTCCATCCATTCACCTCCCACCTCTGCAAGCAGCGGGCTCTGCTGTGTGCAGGGCATGGGTGGAGCTCCTCCTTCTAGTCCCTTAAAAGTTTTGATCCTCCAGCAACAGCAGCAGGAGCCGCAGGGCCGAGAGGCCTCTTCTGGGATGCTCCCGCCAACCTTGGAGTCCTCCCAGGAGCTCAGTCTCCATGTCTGCCTCACGCCTCACTTTACCAGCAGTTTTTCTTCACTCCCCCTTCTCCCCCTGCAGCTGTCTCAGCTTCGGAAAAGTTCTGAAGTCATGGAAAGTTGGGGCTGTGCTCCCAGCCAGGGGCTGGGCTGGATGGCAGCCCAACACCAGGCTGGGTTTGACTTTATTTTTAGCCTTTAGGGCTGAGACAAAGGAGGGGTTTTGCAAGCCCCATCAATCTTTTTTTTTTTTTTTTTTTTGTCCTTTCAGGAGGTAGACACTATCACTTCTTGGCCTTTTGGCTAAGATCAAGTGTAGGGACCAGACACTGTTGCATTAAGGCAACATGTGCAGTGGCCTGGTCTGGCCCAACATCAAGGCAGCAAAGCTCCCTCCAGATCATCGCATGCTTCACCTGCTCCACCGAGAGGGGTGACTCCACAATTAGAGTCCCTCCTGAGCTGGTGGTAGGACCTGGGCTTGGGGTCACAGCTCACCAGGACTTCGGAAGATGTGCCTCTGGTGTGCCCCACCCAGCCTCCCACCCATCCCAGGTCCCTCTGCTTCCAGGCCTTCTGCAAGGCTGCCTCCATCCTGCTTTGGGGTGAGGTGTTGGGCTTGTTGGAATGTAGGCCCCATTGTGGCAGGAGAAAAATATTGGCAGGTTTTTTTTTTTTTTTTTTTTTTCTGGTTTCTGGGCTGGGTCTCCCCACCCACTCCTGTCCATGTTTGGTTTGCTTTTTTCCATGTGCCGCAATGGCAGCTCAGGCTAAGAGTTGACGGGTTACAGATGGTCGCCAGGAGCAGGTCCTTGCAGGGTTGGCTCCTCCAACCCCTGGGCTCCTGCTGTCTTTCATTGGTTATGGATAAAGTGGATAAAGGGGTTTGTGAGATCTGGAAAAGTTCTTGGGTTCCCCAGAAGCCTCTATGAAAACAGAATCCCTCTATTTCACCAGCAAAAATACTCAGTCGGGCGAGGGAGGTGGCAAGGGCTCCCCTGCTGGGTTGAGGTTGGTTCTGGCCCAAGCTCTACCCAGTGTGAGGGCCAAGAAGGCTGGCCAGTGGAGCCCAGATGGACCAGAGGCCTGGCCAGCACATGTGGAACCAGATGCTGAGGCTTGTGGGCTGTGGGTTGGACTCAGCATTCTCTTGAGACCCTGCTGGTACTTCCCCGCTCTGCCTGGGACTCAGGACCCAACCTTAGTCCTGAGAAAGACAAGGGCTGTCCCCATGGCTGGCTGTCCATCCGTGAGCTCCCAGCTGACCCTTCTTTCCCACAGTGCCCTGCTGTGGACGGTGAAGGGGTGAGAGAGAACCAACGCCTCTGGGACTCAAGTTGAGCCCTGTTAGAGACATCGGGAGCCCCCCCAAGGGCTGGGAGTCTCCTGCTTGGACTGCTGAGAGGGAGGGAAGCTTAGCTGAATGGAAAGTGGGTGGGGCCCAGGCGGAGGAGCAAGGCCAGGCCCTGTGTGGGAAGGGGCAGGAGACAAAGGTGCCCCTGTGTGTGTGGAAAGGAATGGGAGGAGAGCGAGGGAAAGGCATTCATATCTGAAGATCGAGCTTTGCCTGGGGCCCCAGGCGCGTTCCTGGGCTCTGAGTCATGGGAAGGGTGGAGAAGACAGGAAAGGGGTTTTCGGGGACCCCGGGAAACAGTGGTGGGGAATGGGAGCCAAGCCCCAGAGGCCATCAGACGCACACAACAAACCTAAGGCAAAGCCGCCCCCTCGTGGTCATTGGGGACAGCAGTGCCAGGCCCCAAGGGGACGCAGACTCCGCCTTTTAGTTAACCCGCGCTCCTCTCCTCTCTTCTCCAGCAATACCAAGAAGGAGGGTGACCTGATGGCTGCCCAAGCCCGGCTCAAGGACCTGGAGGCACTGCTCAACTCCAAGGAGGCGGCGCTGAGCACTGCTCTCAGTGAGAAGCGCACACTGGAGGGCGAGCTGCATGACCTGCGGGGGCAGGTGGCCAAGGTGAGCCCTGCGCCAGGCCCAACTGAACACAGGCGCACTTCCAGCTCGCCCTGTCACGTGGCGCCAGAACCATTCACCTGTGCCAGTGTCATTGTACCCGTTCAGACTGTCTCTCCCCCTTCCTTAGCCCAAAAGAAAAAAAAAAAAGCACCCAATTGTGGCGCACGGTAGGTTGAGTCGCCACTTGTGACTGGGACCCTGTGTCACAGCGCTGCTTCCAGTCCAGCTCAGCTTCCAACTGGCTCAACCCCAGCTGGGCGCTGCCAGCCAGGCGGGGAGTGGGCCAGCACATAAAACGTTCTCTCTTCGTCTGTTTTCTTTCTTTCTTTCTTTCTTTCTTTCTTTCTTTCTTTCTTTCTTTCTTTCTTTCTTTCTTTCTTTCTTTCTTTCTTTCTTTCTTTCTTTCTTTCTTTCTTTCTTTCTTTCTTTCTTTCTTTCTTCCTTCCTTCCTTCCTTCCTTCCTTCCTTCCTTCCTTCCTTCCTTCTTTCTTTCTTTCTTTCTTTCTTTCTTTCTTTCGATTTATTTTTATTGCAAGGTCAGATACACAGAGAGAAGGAGAGACAGAGAGGAAGAACTTCCGTCTGATGATTCACTCCCCAAGTGGCTGCAACTGGGCAATGCCAGGCCAATCTGAAGCCAGGAGCCAGAGTACAGGTTCCCAAGGCTTTGAGCCATCCTCCACCACTTTCCCAGGCCACAAGCAGAGAGCTGAATGGGAAGCGGGGCTGCCAGGATTACAACTAGCGCCCATATGGGATCCTGGTGCATGCTAGCCAAGGACTTTAGCCGCTAGGCCACTGCGCCAGGCCCTGTCCTTCTCTTTCAAATAAATCACTGAATATATCTTGTTTGAAACAACAACAAAAATGGTTGAAACCCAAAACAACAAATAACCCATCAACCATTTTCTTTTTAAAAACATTTTTTTGGGGGGCCTGGCGCGATGGCACAGTGGTTAAGGTCCTCACCTTGCACGCCTGGGATCCCATATGGGCGCCAGTTCTAATCCCGGCGGCCCCACTTCCCGTCTAGCTCCCTGCCTGTGGCCTGGGAAAGCAGTCAAGGACAGCCCAAAGCTTTGGAACCCTGCACCCACGTGGGAGACCCAGAAGAGGCTCCTGGCTTCGGACTGGCATAGCATCGGCTATTGCGCTCACTTGGGGAGTGAATCATCAGACAGAAGATCTTCCTCTCTGTCTTTCCTCCTCTCTGTATACTCGCCTTTCCAATAAAAATAAAATAAATCTTAAAAAAAACAACATTTTTTTTCTAGTTGAAAGGGAGACAGAGTAATATCTCCTATTCTGCTTCATTCCGGAAATACCTGCAACAGGCAGGGCTGGGCCAAGTCAGAACTGGTCCTTCCAGGCCTCCCACGTGGCTTATAGGGAGCTGACTACTTGAACTATCCAGGAGTGCATTACCAGGAAGCTGGAACTTGGATCCGGCACTTCAGTATGGGATGTTGTCGCTGTCCTGCACAGAGCCGATACTAACACGCGTGGACCCTGACTGATGGTCCAAGCTGAAGTTTATTAGTGGCCTCAGACCTTATATACTGAGGGTTATATTGGTTAAGAGAAAAGGTATTGAGCTTAGCAACAAAACCCATCAACTGTTTCCATACTCTTGTTTGGAACTCCTTTTGTTTTGTCTATTCTAACAAGGGTTCTCATTCACATGCGGTCCACTCGACTGTTCTCATACAGATGATATCCATCAGTTATACGAAAGGTAGCCATTCCGTTGTCCTCATGCAAATATTATCCAATCAACTGTAATCCTGTGCTCGCTGACCCTCTAGGGTCACAATGTCCTCCTACAGGACGTTGTGTCTTTTTTATTTTAACAGATTATTTTTATTGGAAAGGCAGATGGGGCCCAGCGCGATAGCATAGTGGTTAAAGTCCTCACCTTGCAGGCGCTAGGATCCCATATGGTTCCCAGTTCTAATCCCGGTGGCCCAGCTTCCCATCCAGCTCCCTGCTTGTGGCCTGGGAAGGCAGTTGAGAACAGCTCATAGCCTTGGGACGCTGCACCTGCGTGGGAGACCCGGAAGAGCTCCTGGCTTCGGATTGGCTCAGCTCCAGCCGTTGTGCTCACTTGGGGAGTGAACCATCGGATGGAAGATCTTCCTCTCTGTCTCTCCTCCTCTCTGTATATCTGATTTTGTAATAAAAAATAAATAAATCTTAAAAAAAAAGGCAGATGTACAGAGAGAAGGAGAGACAGGGAGAAAGATTTTGTTTTTTAGAGATTTATTTATTCTTATTACAAAGTCATGTGTTGGTTCACTCCCCAAATAGCTGCAATGGTCAGGGCTGGGATAGGCAGAAGGCAGGAGCCAGTAGTTTTGTCCAGGTCTGCAGGGGCCCAAGCATCTCTGCTGCTTTCCCAGGCACATCAGCAGGGAGCTGGATCCAAAGTGGAGCAGCCGTACTCAAACTGGTGCCCACACTGGAAGCCAGCATCACAGATGGCACAACACTACGCCACAACACTAGCCCCAGCTAACTTTAAAAAGGGCATCTTTTCCTGACCCATCACTTCTCCCCGCCCCATGCGTCACACTTCCCTGGTGCTGACTGTCCTGAAAACATGTGTGTGTGTGTCTTCATGTTCCTGTACCATTGCACTTGCCAGTCGGCACCACAGCCTCTCCCACGCTGGCCTGTCCCCTACATCTCGGCCTTCCTAGACCCCTCCCTCCACTATTCCAGGCACACTGGTCCCTGCCCTCCCCCCACCCAGCTGTGCTGTATTACAAATCTCCTTTGGAGCCACTGTGGAGCCACTGTGCAGCCACCGAGTGGAGCTGTCATGATAGCAGGAAGAGTATGTCTTTGATTTCTTAGCATAGTCGTTACCCCTGTCGGCCCTGTCCCAACCTCCCAGGCCCTCACTTCCCCTGCACCAGTTCCCATACCTGTGAGGCGTGCCCACTTCCCAGCTGCCCTCCAGCTTGTGTTGTTTGGTGACCCCATTCCCTGCCCTCCCAGCTCGAGGCGGCCCTGGGCGAGGCCAAGAAGCAGCTGCAGGACGAAATGCTGCGGCGGGTGGACGCCGAGAACAGACTGCAGACCTTGAAGGAGGAGCTGGACTTCCAGAAGAACATTTACAGCGAGGTGCGAGGGGGCGGGCGAGGGGGCAGGAAGGGCTCCCTGGAACGCTGGCCGGGGCAGGGAGAGCCAGGCCTCCCCGGCGCTGCACCTGCTGACCGCGGCTTCTGTGTCCGCTTCTACCCTCGCAGGAGCTGCGTGAGACCAAGCGGCGCCACGAGACCCGGCTGGTGGAGATTGACAATGGCAAGCAGCGTGAGTTCGAGAGCCGGCTGGCCGATGCCCTGCAGGAACTGCGGGCCCAGCATGAGGACCAGGTGGAGCAGTACAAGAAGGAGCTGGAGAAGACCTATTCGGCCAAGGTGCTTCCTCCGCCCCTCACTGGGAGAGTCCACAGAGGGGGGGGACCAGCCACGATGATGTCATCCTCAGCCCCCACGCCCCCACCACCAGGCCCTGCCTGGCCATCTTAACCCTGTGTCTTCCCCTCCAGCTGGACAATGCCAGACAGTCGGCTGAGCGCAACAGCAACCTGGTGGGGGCCGCCCATGAGGAGCTGCAGCAGTCTCGCATCCGTATCGACAGCCTCTCGGCCCAGCTCAGCCAGCTGCAGAAGCAGGTGAGGCCACCTCATCCCTGAATGAGGGCGGGGAGGGTGGCTGCGGAGAGGAGAGACAGAGCATGCTCCCAGGAGCACAGGCAGAGAGCAGAGGCCCTGGCTTGGCAGGCGTTGTCCTGCCTGCTCCCTTCCTCACTGCACGTGCGCTTTGCGGAGCCTGGCTTTTCCAAGTGCAGATTGGCCTTATGCCTCAAGCTCATAGATCTACCCAAACCCTGTGCTGCGCAGGCCGCTCAGAGCACCCACACTGCTGCTGCAGACAAGCGGGTGCAGCCTCAGAGGGAGACCCCATTCCCTCATGTTAGCTACCAGGCAGGACTTCCTGGGGCCAGCCCGCTGTGTTAGAGCCCATGGTGGAGGCCCCCCGTGGGGCAGGGGGCCCTCGGAGGGCTCACGGGACGCTGGCCTCCCCCCATCCCAGCTGGCAGCGAAGGAAGCCAAGCTGCGGGACCTGGAGGACTCCCTGGCCCGCGAGCGGGACACGAGCCGGCGGCTGCTGGCCGAGAAGGAGCGGGAGATGGCGGAGATGCGGGCGCGGATGCAGCAGCAGCTGGATGAGTACCAGGAACTGCTGGACATCAAGTTGGCCCTGGACATGGAGATCCACGCCTACCGCAAGCTCCTGGAGGGCGAGGAGGAGAGGTGGGCTGGTGGAGGAGAGGCAGGAGGTCCCAGGGACGCCCCCCGGCTGGCGACTGGCCTTGACAGACCTTCCCTTCCTTCTGGCTCTCCAGGCTCCGCCTGTCCCCCAGCCCCACCTCGCAGCGCCGTGGCCGCGCCTCCTCCCACTCGTCCCAGACTCAGAGCGGGGGCAGCATCACCAAGAAGCGCAAGCTGGAGGCCACCGAGAGCCGCAGCAGCTTCTCGCAGCATGCGCGCACCAGTGGCCGCGTGGCGGTGGAGGAGGTGGACGAGGAGGGCAAGTTTGTGCGGCTGCGCAACAAGTCCAACGAGGTAACCTCGCCCCCACCCCGGAGCAGGGCGGGCCTGAGGGCGGTACAGCTGCACTTGGGAACCAGCAAGAGGAAGTCGGGGTGCAGGGGATGGCCGGCGCGTGTCTCTGCCACTGCCTGGCTCCAGTTGTGGCTGGGAGGCTTGGGTCACCTGCCCAACTTTCCTCATCTGTCGAATGTGGGTGAATAAGCCCCAGGTGAAACAGCCCGGGTGTGTCTGGTGCAGCGGGATCCACAGGATGGGGGGGTGGACGTTAAGGAGGGGGCAAGGCCAGGCCAGGGGCATCTGGAGCCTCTGAGGGCTGGCAGCTGTGGGTTCACCCTGTGAGAGTAACCTAAGAACTGGCATGAGCCTCCCTCTCCTCCTCTTCCCTCCCTGCCTTGCAGGACCAGTCCATGGGCAACTGGCAGATCAAGCGGCAGAACGGAGATGACCCCTTGCTGACCTACCGCTTCCCGCCCAAGTTCATCCTGAAGGCTGGGCAGGTGGTGACGGTGAGTGGCGGCAAGTGGCTGGGGCTGCTCGGCCTGCAGGGCGGTGGAGCCCGTGGCGTTGAGTGAGCACCCTTCTCTTCTCTCCTCCCCCAGATCTGGGCTGCAGGAGCTGGGGCCACCCACAGCCCCCCGACTGACCTGGTGTGGAAGGCGCAGAACACCTGGGGCTGCGGGAACAGCCTGCGCACGGCGCTCATCAACTCCACCGGGGAAGTGAGTGTGCTGCAGGCACGGCTGCCCCCTGGCGGCCGCGGTGGGAACAGCCTGTCCCCTCATCAGCATCACCTGCCCGTGCCAGGGAGGGAGGGTGGCCCCCTGACGCTCAGGTCCCCGTGCCAGGGAGGGAGGGTGGTCCCCTGACGCTCAGGTCCCCGTGCCAGGGAGGGAGGGTGGCCCCCTGACGCTCAGGTCCCCGTGCCAGGGAGGGAGGGTGGCCCCCTGACGCTCAGGTCCCCGTGCCAGGGAGGGAGGGTGGTCCCCTGACGCTCAGGTCCCCGTGCCCGGCAGGAGGTGGCCATGCGCAAGCTGGTGCGCTCGGTGACCGTGGTGGAGGACGACGACGACGAGGACGGAGACGACATGCTGCAGCACCACCATGTGAGTGGCAGCCGCCGCTGAGCTCGATCCCCGCCCGCCGGCCTGGGGAGGGCAGCCCCCTGCCCGGCCTCCTCCCCCGCCCGCCACAGAGCTTTTCATTAAAGAATGTTTTGGAACTTCACTCGCTGCCCTGGCCTTTCTTCTCTCTCCCTCCCTGTACTCTGACCGGGGTAGCCCAGGTGGTCTGTAAGGCAAGCAGTGAGAACGCTGGGATGGCACGGGGTGCCCCACGGGAGCTGTGGACCCTGGTCCCTTTGGAAGGACAGAGAAGGGGCATCCTAGCCTCTCTCCCCTTATTTCTCTTGCATGCATTCCCCCTCGCTGCCTACCCCCCTTTCCTGTTGCATGCGTCCCCTCTCTTTTCCCACCTGCCCTGCAGACAGTTTTCTCATTCCTGCCCCTTCCACACATACACCCACAAAGTGACTGCATGCCGACTGCCCTTCCAGAATCTTCCTTTCCTTCCACCTCGCTTTTCAGCGTGGAGAACAGCGTTTCAGCCACAGCTCCTGCTCTGGGCTGGTCTGTCTCACGCCCTGCCCACTTCTCCACCTGCCGGCTTGGCACCTGCAGGCGCCCCAAGCCTCGCCAGTGTTGGACCTGAGCGGCCAGTTCCCAGCGTTGTCTCCCTCCTCAGGGCTCCCACTGCAGCGGCTCGGGGGACCCCGCTGAGTACAACCTGCGCTCGCGCACCGTGCTGTGCGGGACGTGCGGGCAGCCGGCCGACAAGGCCTCCGCCAGCGGCTCGGGAGCCCAGGTGGCCGGATCCATCTCCTCGGGCTCTTCCGCCTCCAGTGTCACGGTCACGCGCAGCTACCGCAGTGTGGGGGGCAGTGGGGGTGGCAGCTTCGGGGACAACCTGGTCACCCGCTCCTACCTCCTGGGCAACTCCCGTCCCCGGACCCAGGTGAGTCTCGCCTGCTGCTGCACCCCTACGCCCCTTCCCCTTAGATATGTCATTGTAGGGTCCTCTGGTGGGGGCGAGGGGGCAAGCCTTCTCTTCCGCAGCCCGGGGGAGTGGGACCCTCCTCCCCAAGCCCAAATCCCAGCAGCCCAAGACCCGTCTCCTGCCCCTCCTGTCTGCACCCCAGACTAGAGGGCGGGCGGCCGGCAGGCTGCAGTCCTTGCTTGGGGAGGGAGAGAGGGGGTCCGGGCTCCCAGGCTCAACATCTCCCTGCCCCGTGTCTTCTCTCCTAGGGCCCCCAGAACTGCAGCATCATGTAACCCATTAAGGCACCTACCGGCGAGGGTGGGTCCAGGCCCACCTCGCGCCCCCGTATCCCTCCCTGCGCATCCTGCACTTAGGGGAGGGGCTTGAAGCCAAAGAAAGCTGCCCTCCCCCTTTTTCTTCTGTATTTTTTTTTTTCTAAGAGACGTTATTTTCTACAGTGGTTTTATACTGAAGGAAAAAACACAAGCTTGAAAAAAAAACCAAAAAACCAGCATATCTAGCTTCAGCCTTTGTGCCCCATGCCCCGCCTTCCCTGCTTCTAGGAAACTCTACATTTTGCCTTAAAAAACCAAAGAGGGCTTCCTGTAGGAGCCGCAGGGCGGGGCTGCTGCTGCTGCTGCCAAACCTAGGCATCTGCTTCCCTGACCCCCACCCCACCCCGGGGACCCCCATGATATGGTGCCTGAGAGGCAGGTAGAGGGGGAACCTCCCCCAGGAGAGAGAGGACGTGGCTAAGGCTCCCCTGTCCGCCTGCCCTACCCCTGGTCCCCACCCTGTCCCCTCCCGGGGGTGCATCCCTTCTCCCAGGAACCCACCCGCTCGCTTTACCAGCTCGCTTTACCCGTATTTGATTCTGACAAGAGATGGGACAGAGGGGGGGGAGGAGGGAGCCAGAGGAAGGGAGGTTGGGAGTTGAGTCCAGCTCTGGAGCCCAGTGGGGGCCCTGTGCAGTCACGGGGGTTATAGTCAAGTGGGGTGTATGAAGGAGAGGGGGAGGCCACTGAGAGGAGGGCGAGTGACAGGTGTTGGGCCAACACTAAAGGGACCCCAGGCCCCCTTCCCATCTGCTGCCTCCCCCCTCCCCTGGTCAATACACTAGTTGTTTCTACCTGTGGCTGTGTGTGTCTTTGTTGGTGGTGCGCCTGGTGCATCGTCCTCCCACACATGACCGTGGGCCTCTGGGGAGAGGAAGGCACACTGAGGCCCTTGGCCTCCTTGACTTTCTCGGTTCAAGCGCCGCTCACCCTCAAGCCCAGGCGGGACCGGAGTTAGAGACAATTGGGGAGAAGAAGGGGAGACACCGAGAAGGCGGTGGGCACGGAGCCGGGCTTCCCCAAGGGCAGAGGGTGTCTGTGTGAGCAGCCAAGGGGCACCTGGGGCCGGCTGCCCACCCAGGGGCATGTCTTAGCCGTGGGCATGAGGTACCTTCCTTGAGGGAAACTGACCCAACGAAGAAAGTCCCCACACGCAGGTGGTAGGGGTGACCATGTCCTTTAACCCTTGAACATGGGGGCTGGGTGGAATTGGGTCATATAGACCAAGGGGGTGCTGGGTGCAGACACCTGTTCCAGGGCCATCAGCTTTATTAATCTCAAAACCAAACACTAGGAGTGATAAAATAGAGTCCTAAATGAATGCCAGTTTGAGTGCCAGTTGATCCATTTCCCATCTGGTTCCCTGCTAATGACCTGGGAAAGCAGCCGTGTCTGGTCTAACTCCTTGGGGTCATGATCCCACATGGGAGACCTGAAGGAGGCTCCTGTTTCCTGGCTTTGGTCTGGCCCCATCCTGGCCACTGTGGCCATTTGGGATGTAAATGGGAGACCTCTCTATCTCCCATATAGGAGCCTGTTGACTCATCGTGTGAGCCAATAATACAAATCTTTTTTAAAAAAAGCTATGAGGGGGGCCTGGAGCAGTAGCCTAGTGGCTAAAGTCCTGGCCTTGCATGTTCCAAGGTCCCATATGGGCGCGTGTTTGTATCCTGGCAGCCCCACTTCCCATCCAGCTCATTGCTTATAGCCTGGGAAAGCAACCGAGGTTGGCTTGGGACCCTGCACCCGCATGGGAGACCTGGATGAAGCTCCAGGCTCCTGTCTTTGGATTGACTCAGCACCGGCCATTGTGGCCACTTGGGGGAGTGAATGAGTGGATGGAAGATTTTCCTGTCTCTCCTCCTCTTTACACATCTGCCTTTCAATAAAAATAAATAAATCTTTTTAAAAATGCATGAGGGGAGAAAGGCCTGTAAAGTCATTCAGGAGACCCCATGGTGCCTCTGGAGTAAAGCTGTTAAGAGGAAGAAAGTGTCCCTGTTTGGCCTGGGCAAACCCATGTTCTCCCAACCCATGTTCTCCCAACCCATGTTCTCCCAAGCCCCTGGGGCCAGAGAGCTGGCTGATCAGGGCAGGACGTCCGCGGGCGCTTCCCAAGCCGGACACCCGGGGGCGCCAGAGCCCGCTCTAGGAGAAGGCGCAGGCCGGTCGGGATCAGGACTGAGGGAGGGGAGGCGGGCGGGCTGAGCAGCCGGCGCGGGATGGCGGCTCCCTGCGCGTCCGCACACAGGTCCACGCACAGGTCACAGCTCGCCACCTGTGTCACACGGCATGCTCACAAGACACTGAAATTGGAAACACGGGGATGTGCACACCAAGCAAACGGTCATTGCTGGTCGACGACCCACAGGCAGCGCTCAGGGTTTGCTTTCAGAGCCTGCCGGGGCGTTTCAAGCGGTTCCTGGAAGGCAGAATTAAAAGGCGAATCTCAGGAATTCTATGGAATCTCGTGGAATTCTAGTGATTAAAGTCTTCGCCCTGCATGCGCAGGGATCCCATAGTCGTGTCTCGGCTGTTCCACTTCCCATGCAGCTCCCTGTTTGTGGCCTGGGAAAGCAGTCGAGGACGGCCCAAAGCTTTGAGACCCTGCACCCACATGGGAGACCCGGAAGAAGTTCCTGGCTCCTGGCTTCAGATCAGCATAGCATCGGCCGTTGCGCTCACTTGGGGAGTGAATCATTGGACAGAAGATCTTCCTCTCTGTCTCTCCTCCTCTCTGTGTATCTGACTTTCCAATAAATAAATAAATCTTTAAAAAAAAAAGAAACAATGCATGGATATTTATTTATTTATTTATTTTTGCACCAAAATAAACTCATTTTGGGGGAATGATTTATTTTATTTTTATTTTAAAGGCAGATTTACAGAGACAAAGAGGGACAGAGATTATTAAATCAGCCATCTGCTGGTTGACTCCTCAAATGACTGCAGTGGCAGCACTGAGCCAATCTGAAGCCAGGAACCAGGAACTTCTTCTGGGTCTTGCATGTAGGGGCAGGGGTCTCAGCTGCTTTCCCGGACTACACGCAGGGACGTGAGCTGGGTTGGAAGAAGAGCAGCCAGGACTGGAACCAGTGTCCACATGGGCTATCAGCACAGCACGTGGAAGATCAGGCTATAATGGTTTGGTATTAGACCCAATTCATTCTTTAATTCCATTTATCCATGAACTTCTTTTTTTTTTTTTTAAGATTTATTTTTTATTGGAAAGTCAGATATACAGAAAGGAAGCGAGGCAGAAAGGAAGATCTTCTGGGCCCGGCGCGGTGGCACAGTAGTTAAGGTCCTCGCCTTACACACCCGGGATCCCATATGGGCACCGGTTCTAATCCCGGCAGCCCCGCTTCCCTTCCAGCTCCCTGCCTGTGGCCCGGGAAGTCAGTCGAGGACAGCCCAAAGCCTTGGGACCCTGCACCCGCGTGGGAGACCCGGAAGAGGCTCCTGGCTTTGGATCAGCATAGCATCGGCCATTGCGCTCACTTGGGGAGTGAATCATCGGACGGAAGATCTTCCTCTCTGTCTCTCCTCTCTGTATATCCGCCTTTCCAATAAAAAAAAAAATAATAAAAATAAATCTTTAAAAAAAAAAAAAAAAAGAAAGGAAGATCTTCCATCCACTGATTCACTCCCCAGAATGGCCACAAAGTCCAGAGCTGAGCTGATCCGAAGCCAGGAGCTAGGAACCAGAAACTTCTGGGTCTCCCATGCAGGTGCAGGGTCTCAAGGCTTTGTGCCATCCTCAATTGCTTTCCCAGGCCAGAAGCAAGGGAGCTGGATGGGAAGTGGAGCAGCCGGGATTAGAACTGGAGCCCATATGGGATCCTGACATGTTCAAGGCGAGGACTTTTATAGCCACTAGGCTACAGGGCCAGGCCCACCCATGAACTTCTAAGCTGATCATCATATGCTTTCCACAGGTCACATTTCCCTGTGATTGAAATTTCCATTGTGTTTTTGTCAATTAACATGCATACACAAGTACTTTCTGATGTTATTTTAAAGTTTGTAAGCATTTTTTTAAAGACAGCTCTAATGTAAAATTATTCAAGAGGCAGAGAGGTAGAGAGGGCCTCTTGACTGGTTCATTCATTAAATGCCAACAACAGCTGAAATTGGGCCGGGCTGAAGCCAGGAGCTTGGGGATCCCATCCAGGTTTCCCACGGGGATGGCAGAGGCCCAGTGACACCAGCTTCCACCTGCTGTGGCCCAGAGAGAGATCTCTGAAGTATCACTACTAATCCAATGGTGGCAGCCTTTCAGCACTTTCCATTAAAAATAAATAAATATATACCGATCCAAAGCCAGGATCCAGGAACCTCTTCTGGGTCTCCCACGCGGGTGCAGGGTCCCAAAGCTTTGGGCCGTCCTCTACTGCTTTCCCAGGTCACAGGCAGGGATCTGGATGGGAAGTGGAGCTGCTGGGATTAGAACCAGCGCCCATATGGGATCCTGGCGCATTCAAGGAGAGGACTTTAGCCGCTAGGCCACGCCGCCGGGCCCAACTATTTACATTTTTTAAGTGGATAAAATTATTAATTACTAATTAGCTTTACTGATACATGAACATATAACCATAAGCAGTTGTATCTGACACTTTGATTTATTTTGAAAAATAATGTGTTTATAATTTCACTTTTTTAATAACTCAATAATTTTTAATTTATTTTTCCCTAAAATTTATTTATTTATTTGTTTATCTATTAGATTTATTTTTGATACTAGTTGATTAGGGTGATAAGGGTCAAGGGCTACAGGAAGGTGGGTGAGATCACCATTTTCACATTCCCTTTTTTTCCTTCCTGTGTCTGGGGGAAGGGAGCGACACAAGCAGAGAAGCCACACCCAGCCTCCCAAACACTTCTGTACCCTGGGATGGAGGACAGCCACCCGACATTGCCCCAGGGTCCCCGATGTGGGGCATGCTCTGAGGGGCCTGCTCAAGAGGTTTTGATAGTTCAACTCCAAGCATGATGAAATCGCTCCAGAATCTACTGGTTGACATAATCCACCCTAGAGTCTCCATTTGCCCACATATTCACTGCCAACACTTGGCAGGGGTAGCTGACCAACTTGTTTTATCCTCTGCCATGGTACCAGGTGTCCTCAGCAGGCTCCAATGTACTACCATATCCTCCATGCGCACCTGGATATGCTGTCCACTGCTCCAGCTAAGCCACTGAGGAGTCTCAGCTTTGACATATGCACTCCATGGTCAGACCATGGAACCTGCAATTCTCTTCATGCTTAGGGTTCTGAGTCCAACGATTCAGTTGGGGGGATCTCCAAAAAACTTCATCTGAGGTGATCCCAGACATGATTCTTATGTATGCTTGTCAATACAGGGTCCGGCACAGTCAGTTGCCCAAATCAGCTTAAGCCTATGCTGGTAGTTGCAATTGCTGGATCAGTTCTGCCTCCAGCCTGGTCTTCTACACAAACCAACTGGCGTTGGAGCCCAGCCAGATCCTACCCACCATACACTCGGCCCTCACACAAATCAGTAGGAGCTGCAACCTAGTCGGAGTGGCCCGCTATAACCTCCACCAGACCCACCTCCTGTCCTGTCCAGTATGTACAGTAGACTGGTTCAGTCTGTCCCATATTCCATTCGGCTCTCATACATGTCAATGGGCATTGAAGCCTAGTTCAACCCAACTAGCCCTGCTATCCAGCCCACAAACGTGCGGTGGATGCCATTCTCTGTCTAGCCATGCCTGCCCCCATCCTGGTTTTCATGCTC